AAAAAAAAAAAAAAAAAGAATGGCCAGAATTCATCTCTTCGTACTTTGGTTGCATAGTAAGATGGGATCGTTCCCTGGAGAAAGATATCATGCTTGGTAAAGTGGATGTCAACGAAAAAGGGGAAGGCCCTCAACAAGATGGATTGGCATGGTGGCTGAAACGATCATGGCGCTGGTATAGGCAATGTTTCATTCTGGTGTACATAGGGTCGCTATGAGTCGGAGACCACTCGACAGCACCTAACAACAACATAAGCTTTCTTACTAACATTAGGATTTACAGACTCCTTCAAATAACTGTAAACCCACTTTGCCTTCCTCCCTTGAGTTTCTGCTTCCTGGGGGAAGAAACTCTAATCTCTAATGGTTTAAAAAAAAAAAAAACTCACTGCCATAGTTGATTGCAACTCATAGCGACCCCTCCTTGGGTTTCCGAGGCAGTATTTCTATGGATGTAGAGTGCCCAGTCTTCCTTTCAATTAATGCTAGTGTGATGGATCTCTGTGCCTTCTGTAAAACTATTCTCCATTTCAAAAATAAAAATTACACTCTGTGTTGCTTCTTTGGAAGATATTGTCCATTCTTCGGCTTTAATGATGGTTTTGCTGCATTTCTGGAATGACTGCTCCACTTCTGACTTCTGTGCTATGAACATTTTCCATTTTAGAGAGAAAAATGCTACATTCTTTTCTTTAGTACTGTCTTACATAAAAATTGATTTGATTATTTATCTTCCTCTGGATAACCTTTTTGCTCTCATAAACTTTTGGATCCCTTTCTCTTTGGGGGACACATTTTACTTTATTTCATAGTCTCTTACTGAGTTCCTGCTCTATGTGTTCTTCTGTTCTAAGCATGGATAAGACTGTAATTACATTTATTTTCCAACACAGTGGTGACAACAGAAAGAAGACTTCCTATTAAACACATACATTTGTAAATTAATAAGCAAAACACAGGTGTGAAATATAAAATATTTAAAAATAAATTTTACTTTATTTCTAAAAAAAATCATTTTTATTTGCACATGGTCTCCTATTTTTTGCCATCAAAAATAGTTTCATAATATCTTTATTGTCAGATCATATAGCCATTAAATACAAAATCATCAGATTTTTAATCATTTTGAGTCTTAAAACCAAACCCACTGCCATTAAGTTAATTTTGACTCATAGTGACCCTCAAGACAGAGTAGAACTTCCCCATAGGTTTTCCAAGGCTGTAACTCTTAACAGAAGCAGAGTGCCTCATCTTCCTTCCATGGAACAGCTGGTGGGTTCAAACCACTGACCTTTTGGTTAGGAGTTGAATGCTTTAATTGCTACACCACCAGAACAGTCTTAACTCTTTAAAAAAAATCCATTTTCCTTTGTGTTGACTCTGACTCTTCCCTGCACTCATGGTGACCCCATGTGTGTAGAGAAGAACTGCTTCATAGAGTGTTCATGGGTATGATGTTTAAGTTGCAGATCTCCAGGCCTGTCCTCTGAGGCATCTGTGGGTGGGTTCTAACTGCCAACCTTTCAGTAGTGGAACACTTGACTGTTTTGACCACCCGGGGACACCCAGTTCTACAAATAAGTATATATTTAAGGCTCATTACCTTTCCTTATGTCAATATTTCTCTAGTTATTTTGGTTGTCTGAAACTTGTTCTCTAGTAAATTCCCCAGTAAAATCAGGGAAAAATATTCCCTGAGTTCTTGCATACTGTTAATCATTTCATGTGGTCTTTATATTTGCAAGTCAGTTTCATTGGCTAAAAAAATCATTGGCTCACATTTACTTTTTTTGATATCCTAGATATATTACTTTATTTTTCTTTGGCATAAGGAAGTGCTGTTGAAAAGTCTGATAAAAGTACTGATTTTCTTTCCTTTTACATAATCTATTTTTTTGTTTAGATATCCAAATTTTTAATTTCTTTTTCTTAAATTGCACTAATGATAAAAGAGTACAACTTGGGGCTCATAATTTCTAGGTCTATTGTTTTGTTTTGTTTATTTTCAGATGCACTATGTAGCTCAGTATGTGGTTTCAGATCCAGTTTAAATATACTTTTCAGTAAAGGGAAATTTTACCTAATCAGATTTTTTGCGTTTGCCCTGTTTCCCTGATTTGATACTCCTCTTCAGCCCTTAATATTTATGAATGTTGGATCTTCTCTGCCTATTTTCAGTATTTGTAACTTTTTCTCAAATGCTTTTTTATCTGTTTTTTCATACCTATATGATTTTTACAATTTTATTCCTTTTTACCTTCTACTTTACTCTATTATTTTTCTATGCTTGCTAGTTTTTTTTTTTTTTTCTGAAATTACTCTTTAATTATCTCCTGATTTCTATCACCAGGTTTCTATGTTCTTCTAGTTCTGATTTATGTTGCTCTTCCAAGTCTTTTATCACTTTTTTTCTATGTGTCTTAGCTCATTTTGAAATACTAGATTATAATTTTCATATATTTTATGCTTTGTCTTCCTGGCATGGTTTTATTTTGGAAATTCAAGCAATAAGATCTTGAAAATATCTCATCCTCTGTGAGCTTCAGTTTTCCCAGTTATACAATGGGGGAAATGACCTCTAGTATTTTTCAGATCAACTCCAAAGGCTAGATAAAAGTTTAAAATTTTGTGGAAATGCAAAACACTATGCAGACATAACATTTTATTATTTTTAGATGTTCGCTTTAAATGCCTATCAACTCTACGTCTCCTGTGCAGCCAGTATTCCCTCCAGATCACTTGACAATCTATCCTCAGAAGTTATTTTTTAGTGCATAATTACATCAACTTCAGCTATACATATGTTGCTCCTCTTCTCCTTTTTCTTCTTTTAACTTTGTATGGAATTTGACTTCACTCTATTTCTGTTGCTTATTTTTATATGAACTTTGTTCTCTTAAACTTTTTAAAAAAAAAAAAAAAAGAAACACATTTTACTGAAATACAATTTATGCACAGTGAAATACACAAAACTAAATCGACATGGGTTGACACTTTTTTTTTTTTTTTTGCTGTGTTCCCTCCCCTCCCCTTCTACCCCTGGTAAACAACAAAGAAAGTTTCCTTCCATATATAAACCTTTCCTTGACTTTTTAAAATAATGAACTAATACTATATTTGCCCTTCTGTGATTGACTTATTTCACTCAGCATAATATCCTTTAAGTTCATCCCTGTTATGCAGTGTTTTGCCAATTCTACATTATTCTTTAGGGTTGCATAGTATTCCATTGTGTGTATGTACCATAGTTCAGTTATCCATTCTTCTGTTGATGGTCACGTAGGTTGTTTCCATCTTTTTGCTATTGTAAATAGTGCTCCGAGGCACATGGGTGTGTATATATCTGTTCTTGTCCTGGCTGTCATAAGATATATACCTAGTAATGGAATAGCTGGGTCAAATGGTATTTCTAATTCCAGCTTTTTAAGGAATTGATATACTTCTTTCCATAGTGGTTGTATCATTTTACAGTCCCACCACCAGTGCATGAGAGTCTCAATCTCTCCACATCCTCAACAACATTTGTTATTTTCTGTCTTGTTGAACTTTGCTGCTTGTGCTGGGACAAGATGGTATCTCATTGTTGTTTTGAATTGCACCTCTGTGATAGCTACTGATCATAAGCATTTCTTCATGTTTGTTGGCTGCCTGAATATCCTCTTTGGTGAAGTGTCTATTCGTGTCTTCTGCCAATTTTTTAATTGGTTTTGAGATCTGAGAGTGTGACACCTCCTATTTGGTTCTTCTTTAATAGTGCTTTGCTTACTCAAGATCTCTTTCCTTTCCATATAAAATTAGTGATTGGTTTTTCCTTATCCTGGAGGAATGGTGATGGGATCTGGTTTGGGACTGCATTAAATGTATGGATTACTTTGGGTAGCATTGACATTTTCAC